TTTTATGTTACGCTATCACAAATTCAGATTAGATAAACCATTTTGATTACGAACTTGCATACGTAATACATAGTTGAACAATAGGCCATAGAGAGGTTAAACTCAAGAACTTCACTATAGGAATTACGAAAACTAGATTATAAATTTAATGTCAACAGTAATTAGGATTAAAATATATATTTGATGTCTTGTTATATATGAAATAACAGTTAGTCATACGAATGAGAATCAAAACACATTGTGTCCTCATTAATGCAATAACACAACTAGCTTTACTTTTCAAGTAAATATCACATCGAAAACTATAGTATTGATGAAAAGTAAAAAAACTGAATTCGCTGCACAACATTATATTGTAAAAGCAGATATTATTTACTTAGCCATTCATGCTTTCAACAACAAATAGGTCAGAAATTCAATGTAACAGCATATATGCAAACTGTCAGAATCAATCAAAAATAATTTAATTACATAGAAACTTTGCTAAGTGAAGGTTATAAAACGGTGACATTTATAATACCAGTTAAATTGTTCATTTAAGTTTGTTAGAAGTAAATAAATTGTAAAGTTGACAATGGATATAAAACATGGATCCTAGTCTAGTTTTATTCTCTTACGATCGTATGAAATTTCATTTCACAAATTAACTGAAATGGAACACTTCAGCGTATGTTAAATGAATATACTAAAACCAAAAAGAATCTGTTTGATATTAATTAATTTGAAATTTTATTTTCAAAGTGTGAAATAAATCACCATTAAATTAAAAGAACTAAAGTGGAAATAATATTACCCTCCCAAGATGTTATCTATGGTTGTGTGCCAATGAATATATAAATTGATTTTATAAGTGTATTTCAAGTGTACATGTAATGTTTACCCCTCACAATGAATGACTTTCATCTAATCTCCTTAACCTTAGTAGAAAACACATAATTAATATCAAATCCTAGCAATTAGCCTTAGTAGTTACCTGATTTATAACTTCTATCACTCCCCAGGTATGTTTATCCTTGATAATAATTAAACCTTATTAAATAATCCAGTCAACTTTTCCAGAGATCCTTACCGACCTTATTAGCTGGGACGGCGTACCGGTAAATTGTGCAACATATAACACAAAGAATAAAACCATTTCATATATATACTTTTACATAGATACGCATATATGAATTCTTTTTGTTGCGTTATATAAAAATATACAGGTGTATACATAGAACAATGCTAAACGATGTTTTATTTATTTCTGTACAACACATAAACTGGGTTATTTGCTCTTTTCAGTCATTCGGTTAATGTCCTTCTGATTGACTGTTTTAGAATGAAATACGTCTTATTAAAGAAAATATTTGTGCATGTTTTTTGATACTTTTTTTATCGCATACTATATGAGATGCTAAACAACCTCTTCATTTCATTTCTAACTTAACAGAAATTTTTTTATATTCACACACTGGTTATCGAGTATCTCAACCATATAGTGTTATATGGACACTCAGATGATTTGTCCAAAATAGGATGAAATATATTACCGATATTTTATTGATAGTATTAATACACATTATATGCATCATTACTGATTAATGTAAACCAAGCTTAGAAAAATATATGATATGTATTTTAAACTTATCCTTAATCTCAATAGTTAAAATCATGAGCCAATTGAAGTTAGACCACCACGAAAAACCTGGAAGTACTGGACGGCCGTTTCTTTCTAGTATGGAACTTCTCAGCAGTGCGTAGCCACGACGAAATGACCGTCCAGTGCTTCCAGGTTTTTCGTGGTGATCTGGTTTCAATTGGCTCATGATTTCAACTACTGAAATTACTACAATTTCAACAAAAACACCTCTGATAATTATCCTTAGTCGTCATTTAGGTTCTAGACTTTACTATAGTTTACTTCTAGAAGATTGATAGTCACAGCACAAATAAAACAAGACAAAATACGTTTCCGATTGCACATTTTCACTTGGTTTTCGTTACAACAATAGTTAGGGCAAATATGTTCTAATGACTTTTATGATATTGAGATTTATTCCAATTCATGTTAAATATGTGAATACACAAATTACCTTTTATTATTATATTTTCTATATGCCGCCGGCCTATCGAAAAGCATATATTTAAATATTTTACTTAGATTGATGTAAACGTGTTATTCTTTATTAATTATAACTGTCTACGCATTTCATTTCTGAATAGAATTTATACAGTTGTCAATTTTCTTTGAAAAGTTGTTATGCATTACAGAAAGTGAGTCTTTATAAAGTCATTCAGACAGTTATACTTACATAAAAGTATTAGGTATGTTACAAGAGTATTTTATTTTAACTGAAATGATATTTTGCGCCAGGGGAATTTTAGTGGTATCTGTATCTGATTGGCCTTTAGTTTTCGTAATAGATATATATAGTAAAATAATAGTCGTTAAGATATACAATCAATTATTTATGAAACCATATGTTAAGAGGAAACTCTAATTCTATCTGTATAGATGAAAGTACCATCCACTTTAGCATAATAAATATCAATTAACTGTTAAACAAAATACTATAGTTGACATTGACTTGTGTCCATTCCTCAAAAGTGTAAGATTTCTTCATCGGAGTAATCAGTGAAGTGTGTGGTCAACATATTAAAAGGTGTACTATGTTATTCAATTTCATGAAATACCTATCAACACACACACATTTACTTTGGTTGACAAGTTTCTCATCAAAAATTTAAGTAACATGTCTATTTTTTGTATAAGTGACTTAGAACTGTATTATCAAAATATTTGTTTCAGTGCCTTAAATAGAAATTGTAGATGAATAATTTCTAAAAGAACAGATAAGACGGGAATTTCGAACGTTTTATTTTGTTTTGGTTACAAAATAAACTATCCATATAATACAATCTAGGAAAGAATAAAAACTTAACATTAGTGAATTATAAGTTTAACAGTCTACATTTTTTTTTGTAATTGACGAAGAACAAAATAATTGAACTGTTTGAATATGAATCAATTCCTAACATAATGCTATCAGTTCACCAAAAGATTCAACTTAATATTCATTTGATAGAATATATTTCATATCTTACATAGGCTAAAATTCAACTGGATTACCATAATTCATAAATGATTATCGTTTTTGCTGTCTTACTGTATAACACAAAACTGTGATAGATTCACAGCACATCATATTTATATCAAATTTATTTGAGCAGCAGTAACGATTAAAATAATGTTCATGTCAGTGCAAATACGATGTAAGAAAAGCTGTTTATAAACAGTATTAAACTAAAGAGTGATTTAACGGATAAATTACACTTAGAGAACATGTATAAAGAGTAAATAATGATATTGACTCAAAATTTGACATCATAACAAATAGAGTAAAATTTAAAATTTGATAGTCACCAACAAACTGGAAGGTACTAGATTGCTGCTGTTAAATAAACCTAGACTAAAGTAAGATATTTGTGCAATATTCAGTGGTTTCGATTGTTTCTCAGCTGACGTTTTCATGAAGCAAAATAGGCTTCAGATTATAAATATACGTTAGTACATTAGAACCATATGATAATATAAATGCTTTTAGCAACACAAGAATATTGTGCATTGTTAAATGTAATGTAGTGATTTAATAAACGGTTTACGGCAAACCATATAGATAAATGGTCTCGTTAGAATGATTAAAAAATGTAACTCAATCTATGTAACATGAAAGTCATTACGTTACAAAGTGTATACTAGTGACATTTCTAAACATAACGTTGAAGCATCATCAACATCAAATAAGCTCACTAACTATGTTTTTTAATTATGTCTTCAACTTGCGTTTTCTGGATTTGCTTTTATGCTATTTTAAGAATTTCATTTAACACATAACCTAATACAAGAAAATATTGCATGTTAACAAGTTTATTTTAATACGACTTTCATAATCTTGACAAAACACTTATTACACTGAACGTGATAATCATATTTCTATCATAATTATGAACTTACAACTGTAGATTATGATAAAAAGTTCACTAGATACAATAGTATATGTCCATGCACATGTGTTTAAAGCAATCGGTAATAATAAACATAATAGAAATGGTGATAAATATTTAGTTAAAACATAATTTCACTTTATTAAAATAGATACCTTCATATATTGTACTTCAATAATTTATAAACTCATTTCTACTAATAATTATTCCTGATAAGTGAAGTAAACTAATTATGTATACAAGAATAACTGGTTATCACTAAACATTCAAAATGAATAACTGAGAAACGTCCGCTTAGTAACCATATTGAGTTTTTAGTCTTTCTTCAGCTAATCTACGTTAGTAATAAAGATCAACCTCAAGTAATTTTAATTTAAAAGAATATTACTCATAATTCAATAAAAAAAGAGATTGACAAGAATTAGACACTGAATATGTATAAGACATTAAAATGAAAATTTCGACTTTGAATACTCTCGTCAGTTAAATTTTAGACAATTCCAATAATCTCTGGTGTGAATTTAAAGTTTAGTACAATCAATATCATTAGTCTGTTTTCATTTCGATTATATTCTTCTAAGAAATCTTCAGATGAAATTACCGAACGAAAGACTGGAATCATTTAGATTCAAATCAATCAGATTGTTTAAATACAATTTCTATGTTTAATGTAAAGTAACTGAAATTTTACTAAACTCAATTATCGCTTTGGAGCACATTCGGATTTAGAACTATCAAACTATATATATATATATATATATATATATATATATATATATATATATATATATATATATATATATATATATATATATATATATATATATATATATATATATATATATATATATATATATATATATATATATATATATATATATATATATATATATATATATATATATATATATATATATATATATATATATATATATAGTTTAACTTTAAAGTACTTATATCCTTAATAAATAATAAACATTTTGCATAGTTTTTGATAAATAAATAAAACTCACCTGTATCATAAAAAATGGAAGCCAACAAAGACAAAAACATCCCATTATAACTCCAAGCGTTTTAATTACTTTAGTGTCGGAATTCCCACGAGATCTTCTTCCATGAGCTTCTCTGGACAATTCATTGGTTAAATTCATAGAATCAGTCAATAGTTTTCTTGATGAGTAAGAGTTTAATCTTTTATCATTTTCTATTGCTTCGCAAATGTCATTTGTACCTCCATCTTTTTTCACACCATTAATAATTGCATTAGTTACTATGTGCTCATCATCTGACTGTACATATTCAACTATATTTGTACTTGTAATTTGTAATTCCTGTATATTCTTATCTAATATCGGTTCTGAATGTGAATTATTTGATATAGTTTCTGGCACTTCAGTTGACTTACATGATGTGCCTGGTGTCATTTTCGACTGACCACTGCGTGACATTTCTCTAGCCAATTTGAATATCCTACCATACAGAATAATCATCACTATAAGTGGTAGATAAAATGCAAAAAATGTTGCATACACCTGATAACCAACATTTTTACTATACTCGCAGGCACATTTTTGAAATGGCTCTTTCCAGCCAAAATTTGGTGGTATACTTATCAATGCTGAACCTATCCATGCAGTAGCTATCATAGCAGCCATACGTTGTGGTGTTCGTCTACTTGCATATGTCAGTGGTTTTGTGATAACTAAATATCGATCAATCGAAATTGCACAAAGATTTAATATTGATGCAGTACACAATAGTACATCAAAAGATATGTACATATCGCATAAACCTTCATTAAACGGCCAATAACCTTGATATGCATCAATTATTGTAAACGGTAAAACTAACAAAGCTACAAAAAAATCGCTGAATGCTAAACTTCCAATAAGAATATTACTTGGTGTTTGAAGTTTTTTCACAAGTATCACGGCTAAAATGACTAGAAAATTTCCTCCAGCTGTAGCTATTGCAACAATTAATGATAAAATAAAAATTATCCCTGTTATCAATGCAGAATCATTTTCACTAATACATTCTGAGGTATTCAACTTGTTAATTGATAATGTTGATTTAATACTAGAATTATTCTGTTGTGAAATAGTCATGTTTGTTTTATTAATGATCCAATATGATATATTCAATGAATTCACATTTGTAAATAAACCATTATATGAAATAAATAAATGAATAAGTAATAATTTAAATCGATGTTCATGTTTAGTTAGAATATACCACATTTTTCTTTAGAAAAAATAAAGATAAATAAACCTATGTTCAATGTTCTATGTTTATTTTGTTTATATGCTTTAAATGAAATTCATTATTGGTGATAATTTCAAAAATGGGAACATTTAAAATTGGACTCAATTTCTTTATTTAAAAAAAAAGAATGATAATTGATTTATTCGACATTCTTGTAATATGAAACCATTGAATAATAGAAACAATATTGATATATTCCATTTATATGTTTATCATAATATTTAATTTAATGAGAATACATTTTAAGTAATAAAATTGTTAAACAAACCTTCCATATTATCTATTATATGAATTTGAATTGAAATCCTTAATATTCTAGAAAAATTATTGATCCCTAGCAACATTTAGAAAAAAACAACAATATGTCATTAGATATTTTTCCTATTGTATTTAATTTAATTAATTGATTTATACTATTCAACGGGTTTGATGGATGATGCCTCATATATAATAAAAGTAAAGTCATTAAATTAATAGGCGGATATACAATTGAATAAATGATTGTTATAAACAAATTCAATTCTAATTCCAGGAATATAGAACCAACCATACCTTCAACTCCGATCTAGTAATATGTGTACAGACATAAAAAAATACAGACAGACCTATTTATAAACAGACAGTTTAAAAATACCTGTCATAGTAGAAATGTATATACATATATATATATATATTTTTTTTCTTTTTAAATACGTTGTCACATAGTGACAAGAGTTATGTGTATTTACATATCCATGTGTGTGTGCGTACGTGCGTGTGTGTAATTATAAGCAATGAAAACCTAGTAAATGTCTAATGATGGGGATAAAATAAAAAGTAATTATGATTGTAGTAAGCAGATCATTAAAACTTTCGTGTGACAAGTCATTGAAAATTCTTAACTGACATTGAATTCATCTGTATTGAAATATTTTGCATTTTAGAGACTAAAAAATTTTTTCTCAAATTCATTTGGAGGGATTTTTTAAATCTTGATGTTGATATCAAGGTCTACAAATGATCAGTTTAATTTAGTATATGTACATAATATGCCGATCGCTCAAAAACTACCATGAAATCATAAGACTTTTAAGTAGAATTTGATAAAAGCTAGTTCGAGTATATAGAATATGTGTTGTGGAGTGTTTTACACAAGTCATCTGAATATTTCTGTATCAAAGTTTTGGTATTCACAGCATAGATCAGTTGAGTTTATAGAGGATTTTTATTAATGTTATTTCTTATAGTATCTTATCATGGTAAGGAGCCAAATTACTGTACATCTAATCAAATGAAACAAAAAATGCTTATTTAGTGCACCAAAATGATCGTATCAATTCAGAAGATTTGAAAGGTTTAGAAAAATATACCTAAAGATGATAATGATTATTCATATTGAATTTACCATTCCTTTAAAGTACCTAAGTGGTTGAGTCAGTCATTTGACCTATAAGTACAGTCAAGTTTTTGAACTTTAGAATTTAAATGTGGATACCACTGTGAATTTTAGATATATATTTGTAGATAAATGAATGACTATTAAATGGACTTTCTTTCTGTATCACTTTCATACCAGTAAAAACATTTAAGATTTAAGATTTGATATGTTTATATTGAAAGTGGTTATAACTGTACCTAATTCTAAACAATCTAAAACTAATAACATTTGAGATTCAAACTTACGATCATTTGGAAGCATTAAGATATTTTAATCCATTTTCTATAAATTATCAACATTTATCAAAAAGAAATCTCTAGTGTAGTGATAAAGAAGTTATGATGAAAAGGTCTAAAATGAATTGCACCATGAAATGTTTAAACAATTGGGTCTATCATATGTTTTCTAATAAAGAGTTCATGTTCGGGCCACTTAACTGCTAACGCCACTATAGTGCACAAGTTTTTGATTCGTGCTTCGTTCAGGAACCCTCTTTCAACCATATAGATTATTTTAAAGGATATTTTCAGTGGAGGAGTGATAGCACAAATGAAGACATATTTTGATATTGAGCTGTAGGTTATTTAACACTCTAATTTTGAAAGACATCCAGGAATGTATTTAGAAAGCCATCTTTATGAGTAAGTGATTAACATGTTGGAGTACTATGAAATATATATGTTATATGCAAGACGATTATATCACGTGTTCAGTGAAATTACCCTGTTTTATTGTGAATTTGGTGTTGACTTTATCGCTCATATTATTTTAGACAGACTTTTTATTTACTATAAGGTGATCATTGATTATCAAGAAAAACGATAATTCAGTAGTGCATATATTGTGAAAAGGGTAGAGACCAGAATAGTAAAATTACTCCAAGCATTACACACAGACAAACAGCAACATGTATTTTTGTGGAATTGACTTGAGTGTTTGACTTTTTGTAATGAATTAAGTAGATGTTATATACTTGTTAAGAGATGATATGTTCAGATTAAAGAAGAAAATTTACAATCATTCAACGGTTATGAACGTCATAATATTTCTAAGGAAGTAATTATTTGCCGTTTTAATGTTAAGCCATCCTCTTGTATGCTATGTAAGACACATAAGTTGCGTAACAGAGATAAATGTAGACATCTTCCATTTGCTTCACATACATATAAAAATCACAAACAGATTTTAATATAGATAAATGGTTAATTAGGCTATTTTTAGTATTTTTTCCCACAACAATCAGCCTTTCCTCCAAGATATTGATATATTAACACTTTAGTGCAATCCTTGATCATAGAATCAAATTGAACTTCTCGGTGTTTGCTGAATTATTGACAACAAATTTCTCAACAAATTATCAGACAGGTATCTACCGCAGTACAATGGAAGAAGGTCACGCAATTTCGTGGATTGGTTGAGGTTCAACATTAACACCGTTGGATGCCGACTCAGTGATCTAGAAGTTAAGCTTCGACGCTCGAGACTGAACGCCCTGGGTTGGAATCCTGTGAGCGGAATCGTAGGTGCGCACTGCTGAAGAGTCTCATAATAGTACGAAACGTCCGTCCAATGTTTACAGGTTTTCAATGGTGGTCTAACATCAATCGGTTCATGGTCTCGATCAAAAAATAATTTATATGAGTTTTTAGGTATTAATATCAAAATTGAACTTGTTACTTTGAAATAAATTGAGCATTGTGTGGAAAGTTAATGATAAATTCATTTTTTTATATCCCAATGATTAGAAAAGTTGTATTTCTGACGTTTCGTGACTTAATGTGAGTAAACAAATAACCGAATTCGGTTACTTGTCTACTCTGAAGAAGTGGTACATAAATTGTTTTTTTCCTTACTTAGATAAAATATGTTCTTGTACAATAAAAATCTGGAGAAGTCAAAAAGCGTTTTGATCTGTGAGTTATTTCCATTCGATCCAAAGTTTCGAAATTATGTTAAATATTTTTTTTCTTATTGAATTATATCTCTTTTGCTACCACTCTAATTGTCAATACTTTTTCTATACTGTATTGATTTACTGTATCAACGTAGACGTATACAACTTTGCTAGGATAATCCTACATTACATATGACTGGATGATGTAGTAAATAATATTCTACAAAAATAGCTCTAAAATAACATCATTTTTATTGATAAGCTCAGCATAGCTTTGTTCAATAACATTCTAGAAATGTATATATACTCATTAACGACGATTATGAAACTATTTTATAAAATTCTTTACTGTCTACTAGATGTTTCACTATACTAGTTAGCTACCTTATTATTTATAACAAATGAAAACAAGAATAAAAAGATCTAATTTCCACGTTTTGACAGTAACTATTGTAACCGGAAAACTGAAATTTTGTTTAATTTCCTGTTTTCATTATTAGGAAAATTTAAAATAATATTTTTTTCTGCAATTCACTAAATAGACCTAAGTAAAATGTTTTATGATGTTTATTTGTCTACCTTGATTATAAACAGATTAATTAGTTAATGATGAGATGAACTATGGAAAAAAAGAAACAGGAAATAGAATAGATGGGAAGTTAAGATCAGTAATTTACATTCTAAATAATGATGGAATACTTTTCTGAAAAAAAAGTAGAAACATTTTATTTTTCTGAGAAACGCGATATACAATCATTAGAATATTTTGTTTGGACTTCAGTCAAATGATTCATCGACACAAATGAATAACATTCGAAAATACTACTAAAATATATACATTCATATCTCAATTTCATTGTCATAACTATGATGACTTTCGATTGTTTGTATTCTGGAAAAGACATTCTAAACCGGAGATCATTTATAAAAATACATTATAGAAAATTCAATATAGTTTGCTTTTAACTGACGTATGTTACTAGTGAAAGAAACCAACTAACTTAGTAACAAAATTATAGCTCAGCTCAACAATAGAAGTTTTCTTTCTGATAATATCATTTGGATTTATTATTGTTAATTAAAAATATTTTCAAGTACTAAAAAATGAACCAACAGCTCAAAATTAAAATCGATTTAAAATGGAAAATAACAATAGGGAGCTGTGTCTATGGAGTTGTGTTACGTCATAACATATTAAGAAATGTCATTTATACAAATAAAGGTATATAATTATATAATAGCTAATAAAAAATTGTTAGGATAAAGATATTTTATGAGACAGATAAATAACCGGAATAATTCATTGTTAAAATAATAGCTAGTTAATGGTGCATGATACGAAAAATAGTCTTCAGTTGTGGAACTTGTATTACCGGTTAAAATAACATTGTCTATGTTTATTTCTAAAAGAAAATATATACGACTTTTTCTCCCAAAAAACCCAGATAAATGTAATGCCGTTATATGGGTTCCGCCACATTTATACTTAGAATTAATTTTGTTTTGAATTTCTATTGAATTTCATTTGTTCTGTGTAGTACAATCGATGAGGAAACAGCTACTTAGTGATGCCTTAAATAATAGCAGTCTTTCATGAATCTAATCTTTAATCGACTCAGCTACCCACAAAGAAATAGAAATACCTGTAATTTCATTCCTTACATCATCATTTTTGATTCCTGTATTTTCGTTGATGGCTTAAACTTGTAATGAGATTCAGTCACAAGCCAATATTAAGTGGATATTCTCTGAAGAATAGTTAATTTAATATATTTTTTCTTCTTGTATGTAACTCCTCCGTAATACATAGTTATAACCCTGTAGGTGACCGAAATAAAATTTCCAGATCTTCAACTAACAAAGTACGAATTGAAATCTGTCTGGTATTCGTATTTTCAACATTCCTATAATTTAAGTCAGTCCTTGACATAACAAATGACTATGATTAAAACGCTTCAATTCAATAAATTTCCGATTAGTAAAATAAATCACTGTAATTAATGTTGACTAGAAAACAAATACTTGCTTCAATCTATTGAGAAATATGATCACTATTTAACTATATATTAGGACCTTTTATATTTTTCTATCCACTGAAAATTGACATCAGGACAACAGTATTATTTGATTGTTCGTGTCATGTTTAAGTGAATGAAAAACATGCCTGATCCATTTTTTACGATTATCTGATCTAAATAACATTTGATCGATAACTTTAGGCAAATCT